AATATTTATATAAAAATGACTGGTGTAGGAATGCTATATTAGGGAATTTTTTTTTTGAAAAGGAAATTGTTTACATAGCACCACTTTCTTAATTCAAACAAAATCTACATTAAAAATAAAAATCATAAATAAAAAAAATCACCGGATTTTTATTGTACAACCCTTCATTATCTTAAATAAAAAATAAATACTGAAATTTTTCTCTAAGCAATTTTTATGTTGTACATGATAATTTATTTGACGCAGTACACATAACAACCATTATAATTTAAATTAATTAATCATTTCCCGAGAAAAGATAACCGAAGAAGAATTAGAAACCTGGATGGTCACTTTGATTATTGAAAATACTATTCAAAAAGCAAAGAAACCTGGATGGTCACTTTGATTATTGAAAATACTATTCAAAAAGCAAATATTGTCATTTTATCAATATCCGGATTTAAGAATGTGAAATTTATTGAAAGAAATGTTTACGAAGCCATTTTTGAAACTTCTCAAAAGACTGTTGCTCTTAAAGTGTTTCTTTGAATGACAGGTTTACGCTTGATAATTTAATAAATTATTTATTCTGTAACTTGAATTTGCGGTTAATATTTCACATTGATAAGATTAATTGCTAATCCGCCAATCAATGTGAATGCCATTTCCGATGTAGTTATGTCCGTTAATTTTTGACCTAAAAATTATTTTAAAAACTTTGGGATTGAATTTATTTTCCAGAGTATTTAATATAATTTTATAAAACTCAAATTTCTATATAAACATTATAAATTAGCAAATTACCCCACATTTTTAAGCTTAGTAAAATTATTAATTAGAGAAGTCTCAAACTTTGTCAATATATACTCTCAAACATATATTAACATATTCTTATAAAAAAATTATTCTAAAAAATATGAAATATTTATTATGTCGCCTAAATAGCGTAAAATGCAAAAAAATTACGTATTTCAAGAAAATTTCCTCTTTTTTAGTTTTTAAAAATAAATAATTCTAGCCCGTCCTTAAATTTTGTATAATGAATATGCATAAATTATTTAGTAAAAAAATCTTTTTTATTATAAAATTTTACATTCTCATTGATTGGCGGATTAGCAATTAAAAAACATCGAAAATTGGAAACTCATAGTATAATTATTTATCTGTTAATTTTTATTTTTATAGAAATATCAATAAGCATATGATTATCCTTGAATAATTCTAATAATCGTTCTTGTCGCAAATTAATCTTGTGAACAAATTGATATTCTAATGATGTCATTAATGAAAAGCTAGTAAAAAAAGAAAATTCACAAATGTATTATTTTTAATTTTAATCATTTTTAAATTATTTTTTTATGACTGAAAATATTCTTATTCACAATGGGGAACATTGAATGTTTTTGGATGGCAAAAATGAGAGTTCTAATATTTTTGACTTTTGAGAGATCTCTGGTGGTGATCGTCCTTTTGAAATGGAATTCTTGTTAAATGTTGATTTGTTAAACAATATTGCAAAAGGCATTAGAGAAAGGACTACTGAAACACTTCATAATACAAGGAAATATGTGCGGTATTAATTAAATAATCTATTAAATCATTTATATTGTTACATAATAAGTTATAAATGCAATATTTTGACAGATAGCTGGAACTCCTAAAAATGGGCATTTTAGTTACAAATTCAATGAACATTAATTGTTATAGGGTAATTCAAATATCTAATTTTAACATCTACATTAATAAAAAGTAAATTGGCAACTTATTGGTTGTACCTATTTTATGTCACCATAACAATCGTGCGGTGTAAATTAGCCTCCAAAAATATTAAAAAAAAAATAGTAATAGTCTATAGAATAAATCAATAATTGAATTTGGATTCGATTTTTACGATTAATCCGATTAATCCTATTAATCCTATTAATCCTATTAATCCTGTTAATCCTATTAATCCTGTTAATCCTATTAATCCTGTTAATCCTATTAATCCTATTAATCTAGTTTAATCCTACTAAATAAATTCGTATTTACTGTATAAAAAAATTTATTTGGTTTTTTGTGATTAAACAAATTAATCAAAAATATATAAATTCAACAGCAGCCAGCCATATTTTATAAAAAAATTTAACATGCATAACCCTTTTAAACCCTATCTTTCCCTTATTCATGAACAAGATATGGATACTCAAACTACATCCTCCATTATCGATGAACATGAAGTTCAAATTGAATCCAGTAAATCTTCTAATGCACATGCAAAAAGTAAAGTTTGGGATTATTTTAATAAACCATATGGTCCGCTTGGAAGTCGCAAAACAAAATGTTCTATTTGTAAGATTGAATTTTCATATCATGGTTCACCTTCCTCATTAAAATACCATTTGAAGAATAAACATAAAATTGACATATCCACTAATTTAAGTCAAATGAAAAGACAATCCCAACATATTCCAAGTCAACAATCAAATTTTTCTCCTTATTCTGAACCACCTTTTCTTTCTGAGAATGAAGAAGCTATTGAGTTTATTAAGGATTTGTTTGAATTTTTTGTTGATGTTCCAGCAAAACAGGTTTTACGAATACAACCAACTGTGATCAAAGATTACATTAAAGAATACGGGGAGAATCCGACTGAAATTCTATATGAAATGATTAGGTATCCATCTCATTATTGGTTCACTAGCCTCATAGGATTTTTTTACCAGCACGGAATTGGGACTGTTGATAATCAAATGGCTTTCAAATTCTTTAATTTAGCAGCCGATTATATAATTGATATGAAGAACACTTCCTCAAATCTTTTAATAAGAAAATTTTACAAGATTAACAAAGAAATGGGGAATATCCGTCTTGCTCATATATACAGATATGGTGTAGGCGTTGAGAAAGATTTGGAAAAAGGAATTCAGATCTATTCTAAAGTTGCAGATGAAGGGTCCCATGTAGCTTTAAATAGTATTGCATATTGTTATCAGAATGGGCTTGGTGTTGAAAAAAATTACGCAAAAGCTTTTGAATTTTATTTGAGATCTGCAGAAAAAGGAAATTTTGTAGCACTATCTAATGTTGGTCGGTGTTATACAATTGGAATAGGAATAACAGAGGATAGAACTAAAGGATTTCAATGTCATATAAAATCTGCTCGTGCTGGAAATATTAGTGCAATGTACAGTGTCGGGTATAGTTATGAAAATAGTATTGGCGTAGGTAAAGATGAAAAAGAAGCATTTAAATGGTTTCTGAAGGCTGCCGAAAAAGGATTTTCTATAGCACAACAAAATGTAGGCTATTGTTATAAAAATGGCGTTGGAATTAATAGAGATGGGGTGAAATCCTTTGAATGGTATAAAAAAGTATTCGAAAATAGTTGCACTAATAGCCAATACATGTTTGGAGATTGCTTTTATGAATGATATGGAACTAAGAACATATTGGGCTGATTTATGTAGTAAATTAATGTGACAGAATTAGGTATCATTTGATCTCATCATAATAAAAATATGCATAATTTCTGATCGTCTATTGAAATCGCAAATTCAAATTGGTTGCAAATTGGTTTTTTACAATATAGTAAGGTGTCATTTCAAGCAGTATTTTGATATAGAAATCAATTGTAATTCAAATGTTAAACTATTTTTGTACTAATTATAGATAAATAATATCAATAGAATGTCAAGATTAGATCAAGGGTACGAAACCTTAGTTTAAGTCTAGAGAGTGAAAATATGGATTTCAATAAAGAGTGTGGGACTATAGATTTATATGAAAAGAATTAAAATAGTGAAAATAATTACAAGAGTGAAAAAGAGATTTTAAATCAAGAAAATGAAAGAATAGATTTAAACAAAGAAAATAAATACATCGATTTTGCAAATGGTATTGTATTGTAATATACTTTATATTAATAATAATAAAATATAAAATATTATCAATTTTTTAATAAATATTCTTTTTTAGATGGTTATTATACTTGAGATTTTCAATGCAATTATCTTACAAGTCCTTTTATAAGGGAATTATATATAATAGGAAATAGAATTCTTTATTATTTGTATAAAGTAATATCTCTAGGATTCTATCCTACATCAGTTAAATTAACACAAAAAAATTCCAAAGATTGTGTTCAATATCAAGTTCCAGATGATAATAGTGTTGAAACAGAAGTTTCTAAATTCAAAATTCGATGTGAAACTAAATATCAACAAAATAATAAAGTAAGATTTACTATAATATGGAAAGAAAATAATTCAGAATGGAGTATATATAGTGAATGATCTGCTACTAGTGTTATTAATGAATTTTTGAAAGTGAATGTAATTTAATTTAAAAATTTTATTATCAATTATATTTAAAATTAATATTATAAAATTAAATAATTATTTAATTTAATCAATTATAGAAAAAAAATTATTTAAAATCTAATCTATTGGGTACATTTATTTTTGGATTTGATATTGGACAATTATACTAGTATTGTTTAAGTACATCTACGGCTTTATCTATAACTTCAATAAATAAAAAGAAGCGTTCTTTGTCAGAAATCCAAACATCATCAGGACAATTTAAAAGATTTTTATCATGGGAAAAGAATCCAGAAAGGAAATTAGATCATAATTAAAAAAAATTGTATGCTGATCAAGCCAATCAGCCAATTGTGCACCTACGAAAAATTGAATTAGATTTTAATGGTGAATCTATAATCTTAAATTATAAATCACCTAACAAAAAGAATAAACTTAATAAAATAAATTCTATAGTAAGAGCTTGTGACAAATCTTTATTAGCACGAGATGGATATCGTCAACTTGCTGCAATCGAACCATGTCTTATCCAGGAATATTTAATAGCTAATCATAGAATAGAAATAACTAATGAAATTAATAAGATATTAAAATTGGTACTTTTAATATAGATAAAAATGAAAATTTATTTAATAATTTCGAAAATTTTGAAAAATCAAATGAAGATATAATAATTAATGATGTAGAAATTGGTAATGGGGTGTATAGGTCCATTAATACATTATTAAAAATTTTAATTCCTATCTGGAAACAAAAAACTCCTGCAATTATCAAATCCAAGGATATACCTAAACTTAAATTAGGAGGGGATGGTCGTAATGTGGGTCGCAAACAGAGTCAAGTTATGATGACTATTTTTTTATTAAATGAAAGTGATGAAGTCTTGAAGCCAAAGAATCAATATTGATATTTAAATTTTTATTTTTTAATTATTTTTTATTTTAATTTATTTATTTTTTAATTAAAATTAACAATAATAATATTATTATATATCAAAGTAGTAAAATTAATTATTATATTAATAATTTATTTAATTAAATTTATTTAATTATATTTCCGAAATTAATATTTTTATTTTAATATCGAAAGTTTATTATTATTAGTTTATATCAATAATTTATTTATTTAATCACATTTTCCGTTTATTTATTAACTACATTCTGTTTATTTTAAAATCAATTGTTTAGTTTATACCAATAATTTATTTATTTAATTTATTTAATTACATTTTCTGAAATTAATAGTTTATTTATTTAATTTTGATTTTAAAATCGATAGTTTAGTTTATATCAATAATTTATTTATTTAATTTTTCCGTTTATTTATTTAATTTGATTTCCATTTATTTTAAAATCAATAGTTTAGTTTATATCAATAATTTATTTAATTACATTTTTCAAAATTAATAGTTTATTTATTTAATTCGATTTCCGTTTATTTTAAAATCGATAGTTTAGTTTATATCAATAATTTATTTATCTAATTTATTTAATCACATTTTCCAAAATTAATAGTTTATTTATTTAATTCGATTTCTGAATTTAATATTAATATTTTAAATATCATTATATTTATTTAATTTTTTCGAAAATAATATTTTATTTTAAATATCGATATACATATCTACTTAATTAAAATTAATATTTATCATTAGTTTATTATTATATTAATAGTTTATATTAATAATTTATTTATTTAATAATTTATTTAATTATATTTTTATTAAATTATTAATTATTAATTAGCTTTTATTAAGTTCAATAATTAATTAATTATTTATTTATTTTCACAATTTTTTTTTATTTTAATTTAATAAAATTATAGTATTTGTTTATACATTGGACACGAAAAATATGAAAATCTTACTAAGATAGGACAATCATTTGAGCATAAACTTTTTGATCTCAAGAATAATGGAATATATGATAAAGATGGTATACACTGGGAAATAGAATTGTTTTTTCAAGTGATTGGAAGTTCATGTATTTAATTAGGGGTTTAAATGTTCCAAATGCAAAATTTTTTTGTTTATATTGCAATTGTTCTTCTGATTTACATTGCAAAATGGATAATAATCATGAAAATACTGGCAATAATGCTTGTAAGATTTCTATTATTTATTAAATAATAGTTTAATTAAATAATAATTTAATTTTTTTTTAAAATAGGTGCAAATAGAAAACCAACTTTATTTCCAGCAGTTGATCAGAGAGAAGTTGAAAAAAAAATCAAAGGGGAAGTTGAAGAAGCAATGAAGAAGATTCAGATTCATTTTGAATTTTATAAGTCGGGTAGTAAATGGAATTGGACTTCATTAATGGGTCCTGAAAAAAAGAAAGTACTTCAGTATTTTCCAGTTTCTAATTTTATTTCTGGCTTAAGAGGAATTAAAATTGAAAAACTTTGGAAAGAATTTTATTATCTTTACCAAATTCTAAGAAACCATTTTTATCAGATTACGAAATTGATTTATTTGAAACTGATGCAAAAAAGTGGATTTGTACCTTTTATCAACCAGCTCAAGGAAATCTCCATTCTTCTATATCTATTCCTGGTTTATACCAAAAGCAAGATGTTACTCCATATACATGTTTTGGGACATCATCTTCATCAATTTATACAACAATTAAAAATGAAAAATTTGTCGTTACGATTTCTTCTAGCTCCAGCATTGAAAAAAAGAATCATAATCATGTAAATAATTTAATTATTTAATTGATTGATTATTAAATAATTTATTTATTGATTGATTAATTAATTATTAATTAATTTAATTAATTTAGGTTCGTATATTTTTTGGAGGTACAACAATAGGTGGTGATACTGATGGACAATCTGTTGTATATAAAATAATGTCATTTGAAAATTGACAATTATTTTACTTAATTAATAAAACTCCCAAAGAAATTAAATCTAGTAATATAGATTCTAATGAAAAAAAAAAAGTTAAATGTTAAAGGTGAATGCGTTTAATTTTAAAAATTTAATATATAATATTTTATTCTTCAATAGAATCCAATAAAAAAAATTGTATTGAAGTTTAATTTGATTTTTATTATGTATTTAACTTTAATAATTATAATTATATTATTTGTCAAATAATTTATTATTATACTTTAAAATTATAATGCAAAAGTGCTATTTACATAAATTTGATTATATTTATCTAATAATCAAACATCTATTACAATTATAGTGAAATATTATTTATTGTTTTGTTGATTTAAAATTAATTGTTGAAGAGGGGAGCATAGTAATATATGTCTATATATTATTTGATTATTATTTGTAATCTCAAGTGTTGCAATATAATTTTTAAACAATTGTTCATCTTCTCTACTAATAAAAGAAATTAATTAATTTTCCATTATTATAGAGTTTTAAAATATAATAAATATAATTTTACATCTTACTTTTCAGTAAATTCTCCAGAATCCTTATAAATGCACAGGTAACTGTACCACATTGAAAAGATCTATTATTTTCAATCAATTCAGCTTGCATCCAAATAAAATAAACTTCATAACTTTCTTTATAGTTAACAAGTAGTACATATCCAGTTGTTTTTGTTTTAGGGTTCTGCCAATAACTCCAATGTTCATAATTTAGAATTTGGTTCAATCTTGTTTCTCACTCTACACCTTTAAAGGTACAACTATATTTTCTTAATGCTGAGTTGTATCTAAAAGAAGGTTCACTTTGAAATAAATGAACAAAGATATTCTCAAGAAAAACGTTTATTAAAGGTCACTTGGACCCTACAGAATGTCTGTTAAAACCTAGGCATTTTTAATGAGAATAATAAATGCATCTTGGTAAGTTGTAAGTTGTTCAAAAGAAGGTTGAAGAGGTAAATGTAAGTGAGGTATAATTTTATTATTTCTGTGTTTAGTTCTTTCATGAGCTAAAACTTGTTTTCGTAAAGAATAAGTTTTTTGACAATGTTTACATATAAACGCCATCGTAGATATTAGATGGAAATATTGTTTATTTTTTTCAGATCTTGGAAACAATTTTTGATTGGCTTCATTATATATTCTTAATTATCACATATCTAAACGTGTGATAAAATCGAATGGAATCAAATCAGCCCATATGAAGATATTATAAATGCTTTCTATTGGTTAAACAAAGCCAAGGAGAATGGGAATATGGCTGTTAATGAATTATTAAAAGAAATAATAAGTAATATTAACAGTAAAGATAAAGATGACGCATATTCTTATTTTTAGAAATATGTAATTTATTTTTAAATATTCGTCGTAGTTGCTTTTTAGGAAAAAAAAATTTCAGATGGTTTTGTTAATTAAATAAGCAACGTAATATAATCTAATATAATTCTTTTTAAAAATAAAATGCGAGAACTTAGCCAGAGTTTTTTTTTTATTAACATTAATAAATTTATAGTTTAAGCTATATAAATTAATTGTAATGAAGGAAAAATTTAATTTTTGCTTTACTACAAAAGTAAAATTAAATTTATTCGATTTATGCGTACAAGATTGAAAAAACAATCATTCTTATTCTTTAACATATTCTCTATAAGCAATTTCAGGTTATATAGGATAGGATAGAGAGGGCAGCACATTTACCAACATCAATTGTAATTATTATAATCAGAAAAGACAAAGACAAACGAAAAGTGAATGGGAAATGTGTATGAGCACATTATGAAAATATAATGTACAAAAAATAACGAATATTTAATGAACATTTATTTTTTATAGGGGTCATGATACAAATAGATTCTTGTTATATTATTTCAATTATATAAAGTATAATCATCTTTTATTTTGTTCTTTTTTAATAAAGTTTTCAATAGCTTTTATCGCAAAATTACTATCTGGATAAAGATTTATTTCAAAATCTCTTGGAAGAATAACGTTTCAAAGGAAGTTAGTGACATTATTCTTTTATCGATGAAAATTCACTCATTCTTCAAATAGGAATTTCTATGCATTAGAATCACATTGACGAAGTAATGAGATTAAAAATTCCTTGTTTTTTGTGACTTTTTAAGCGTTTAGTCATCTCGGTATTGTGTTGGGATTTCCCATTAGATTTTGATCTAAAACTCTAAATCTGTAAAAAGGATTTATGCCATTTACGAATTGAATTAAGAATAATTTATTTAAATCAATTATATTGTATTAATAATAAATTTTTGACAGATTTCTGGAAACACAATATTGGTTAATCAAGTTAATCAAGTGGTATTTCAATTCGATAGTTTAACTGCTGCTAATGAAATGATTGATATAATAAAAAAAAATGCCTCTCTGATTTCCCATAAGATAAATTGGATTCGTCAATCTTCCAGATATCTAAAGGCATTTCCAATGAAGGATAATTTGTAGCTTTAAATCGAGTAATAATTTTTATAGGAATTGATTTGATTTAAAAAAAAAAATCTTGAAGAAAGGATTAGAATTATATTTGAAATTGCATATAAATACGAAGTAGGAATACCAAAAAAGATGTAGTTAAATTCTATAAAAGCTATTTGTTCATTAATTATCGTAAAATGTCCATAAAATATATACATCATTATTTCAATAAAGAATATCTGTACATAATTTATTCATAATATTTTTTGATATATGTATAAAAAATAAAATAAAAATGATATTTGTACATAAAATGTTCTCATTTTTCTGTACATATCTATATACAAATTAGAAAATTTGAAAGAAATAGATTATTAAATAGAATTATTAATTATAAGTTATCTTTAATAATAAAAGTCACGTTTTAATTAAATATGAATTTATATTAAAAACCATAAAATACAAAATTCATAGAATATTTAATTCATAAGATATTGACTTATTATTAACATATATTTTTGTTTTCAATACCCTCCATCTTATTACATATTTATTATTTCTAACGTTCATCACTCCACAGTATTTTGTTATTCTACTAAATACTATTATTAACATTATGATTTCTATTATTTTTATTCACAACCGTGTCAATTCTCTCAATTACACTTTGTCTATTTAACATATCTAATGGTAGACTGCTTCGTGGGGTTAAAGATAATCCTCCACCAGAAAAATATGAATTACGTGAATTATTTGAAGATCGTGAACTTGAAATACTTTCCGCATTACTTTTTTTTCGTGTTGTTATTGGCGGCGTTGTTGCTGTTGTATTTTTTTGTGATGCTTCAGTCATCGTGCCAAATGATGGAGTTACGGGTAAATTCATTGTTGAATTATAAACTTTATTCTCATCAATGGTGATGATATTATTGGAATTATTATTATTATTAACAGTAGTAGTAGTAGTAGTAATATTAATATTACTTCCCACTTCTAATAATTTTTCTTTGGTAATAATTTCTTCGTTTTTTGATATATCTTTATGACTTTTAACATCATTATTAATAATATCTTTATCCGTTTCAAGTTTTTTTAAGGAAAGCTTTGGTTTTTTTTTCGATATTCTTCGTTGTGGTGGTAAAGATAATCCGGATCCGGATGAAACAACTTCTTCATTCTTTTCTTCTTTTAAATAATCAAAAATTTTTGATGAACTTTCACCAATTGGTGAAGGAGTTATAATTTCTATACATGGTAATGCTTGTAACGTCGAATTTGTTGTTGTTTTTGTTATTGGAGATTTTGTTAACGATGAATTCTTCTCGTTCTTTCCAACATTTGTAAATGATGATGATGAATTTGAATAATCAATAAGTGTAGGTTCAGGTGAACATGATTCCAAAAATTGACCCTTCTCTAATGGAAAATATGAATAAATGAATAAATAAATATAATATATTAACATCAGATAATCATCAGATAAAGCGTATTTATAGTTTTAAAAATAATTTGATAAACTCACTTGAAATTCCATTTATACCATTTGAATCAATTATCTTTGATTTATTAAAAGAATGAATTATATTATTTCTACTTGATTCTATTCGACGTTCGCATTTTCTGTCACTTCTCAGAGGTGATTCACGGATAGAAAATATTCGTTGAAAAATATTTGGACGTTTATTTTTCCTTATTTTATTTTTGCTTCTGCCACTAATAATACTACTATGTTTACTATTATTATTACTACCATTACTATTATTACCATTATTATTATTACTATTACAACTATTACAACTATAACAACTAGTACGATTACTATTACAACAGCTACTATTGCAACTACTATTATTGCAAGGAAATACTTTTAAAGTAAGTGGAGGATTCTTCCGATGTATGAATGGATCTGGAGAAATTGGATTCAATCGTTGACTGAATGTAGATGGACCAGGTATCCCTGATCTATATTTTTCATTAATTTGTCGAGTAAAAACTTTATCTTGCATTTCAATTATCAACGAACCTTCCAGTGATGATGCCGCCGTGTGAGATCTTGTTGTAGATGAGATTATTGAATCTTCATATGGTTCAGAGGGTTTTTGTAAATTGGGATTTATTGTGGAAAATTGATCAACCAAACTTTTGGTATTGGTTCTCTTGTAACATTTGGGCATATAATATTTTGAAACATCTTCGGTCGTTCCGAAAATTACTGCGAAATAAAAATAATAATAAAAATAACATTAATAATAATAATAATAAATGATTATTAAAATTTTAACGACGACGACGACAACAACATATAATAATCTTAATTTTTTTTTTTTTTTTATAAAAAACTTACAAAAAGTGATATACGGCAATATGACCAATAAAAAATCCGGCCACGTCGTCACGATGGTTGTGTAAGATAAGTTGTTAAAAATTTGAATCGATTTTATAACTAAAATTATATAAAATAAAATATTAAAAATAAAAATAAATTAAATTAATTAATAACTTTGATGATAATAACGAAATTTATGGAAATTCCAAAGAAAAATATTTTTTCAAACATTACCAAAAAATGACAACAATACAATTGAGGTTATGATGCCAAAAATAATAGTTCGAACATATAAAGGAATCTCTTTAATAAGAATTAAGACATCGTCATTTATATGAGTAACGAGAGAGTCAGTGTGATTTCTTATTAACGAAATGTTCAATACTAAAAGAACGTGATTAAAAAAAAATTTGTAAGTAGAAATTCAGAAGAGTTGAAATTTGTACATAGATCGATATATATTATATTATAAATACTTGCTTGAAAATATTAAAGTAATTATAACGGCTATTAAACACAAGATGAACATTCCAAAAATTCTAAATAAATAAATAAATAAAAGTGCGAATTGAGAATATAATATAAAGAATAGAATATAAGTACATGAAAGTTTACGAAAGATAATCGACGACGAAATGAAATTGAAACTTACGAGTGAGTTGCATTAACAGAAATCATACAATGATAACTCCATAAATCTAAGCTCCCCAAAAACCAATTAATCATTGTCATTAATACCGGTAATAACCATGCTAGAGCAATGCATCCACATAAAGATTTATCGTTGATTTTTCGATTATTATTTCCGTTATTTCCATTATTATTATCATTATTTTCATTATTATTATTATTATTTTCATTATTATTTCTATTATTATTTCTATTATTATTATTATTATTATTATTTATTCTACGTTTCATACTTTTAAATCGTTTCCAAGTTTTAAATTCCATGCATGTGGGCCATATCGTTAAACTATAAGTAATATAAACGAATAATAATGCTTGACATTTACAAGTTTTATTCAAAGTCATTCCATTACTAAAAGATAAACCGATTATCCCTGAAATTATTGAAGCCAATAGTAATGTTATCGAATAATAAACTATCAATTGAGCGTTATTATTATTATTATTTTTCTTGTAAACTATAATTAAAAATAGAGACAATAGCATGGAAATTAAGTGAAGGGAATAATATGTTATAGCATCATTCGAAATCATTATATTTTGCGCGTCGTTGTGTGTATTTATATTTATATGTTTATTATATTATTGTGTATTATTGCGTATATGTCTGTATACATATATATACATATATATGCTAGAATGAAATAATGTCTTTACAATTTATTTTGAAGAAACCGGTTCTTCTAAAGAAATAATATATATATTTTTTTTTTTATTTTTGATTTTGATAACTATTTAAAGTGATGAGTAACGAAAATGAGTGATTGATGATTAAATATAAAACATAAATGGATAATGTAATGAAGAAGATTATGAACAAAAGGAAAGGGAAAAAAAAGAGAGAAAAGTGGAAAGAAAGAAATAATAAAAAAAAAATAGAAGGGAAGGGGGAAAAACAGAAAACAAAAATCTAGTAGAAAATAAGTAGTTACAAAGAACAAGATTTCTCGTTAATAAATATTAGTTAACATTCTTATATCAGCAAGCAAGCATTAAATAATCAAATTCAGAATTTGTGTAACGATTACCAAATATTTTATACATTGCAGATTAAATGCAGATTAATATTAAATATTAAATATTATACATATATTGATCATATATTGATCAAGTGAATAAATACTTTTGTACTTTATTACAAAATACATTTGTACACCATGATAATTTTTAACGCTAGTCTATAATAATTTATAAAATCGTTTAATTTATGGTCTGCAAAAATTACTTGATCCTGTTGACATGTCGTAATAATCAAAAATGCTTTTTTGTTTGTTTGTTTGGCTTTTAAGGAATAATTTTAATTTTAAATTGCCTCGATTTTATCCAATATTTTTTTTTTTACTTAATTTAGTGAACTAATTGAACTAATTGGAAATTATGAAATTAATGACGTCGTTTATTACTTTGAACTTTTTTCCGTTTACAGAATAGTAAAAAAAACTGTATTATATTTGTTAAACCATGAAAATGAAATTAAGAAACTAGATACTCGTTTAAAAAAAAATAAAAAAATAAACGAAAAATGAAATTTTTAAATAATGAAACACAATCTCACCGTAAATTATATTAATCACCCCTGAGGTCTTACTATATTTGTTTTACTATTTAAAATTCTTCTTTTAGACGTTCCATTAAACGAAGGAACATATTATATATTTACATATGAGTATATAATTACTATATCTTATTTATTAAATTTAAATTATTAATTAATTCAACAAATGTCTAATTAAATATTTACTCTCCGTAAATGTTACGTCCCCTTCAAAAAAAAATAAAACTTATTTATTCGAAGCCAAAATTTATATCTCGGAGAATAAAATGCATCTATAATATTTGAAACTTAAGATTAAAATGAAATAAAATAAATAAAATAAAATAAAATAAATAAAATAAAAATAAAATAATAAAATAAAATAAAATAAAATAAAATAAAAAAATAAAGGTTGATAAATATTGTTGTCTTCTTCGTTTGGTAATTTATTATTATTTTTTTTAATTATTGTGTTTGATAAAGTAATTGTTTCAGCCGCAAAAAGATTAAATAATGAGTAATTTGCGTAACCGTGAAAAATCATTTATTTTTTTTTTGACAACTCCTCACTGACCGTGCAGGTAGGCTTTATTAGTTAGTAAATCGTGATAATTGTTATAATTGTATAAATTGGTTCAGAACATAAACGGAACGGATAAAAGAAATCACTACTATAATGGAGATTTGTTTCTTTCCAAAAAGAAAATTTTTTCCCTTACATTTGAACAATAATAGAAGTGACCAGAAAGCACGGATAATATCAATTCTTTAATGACATCATCATTATAATTATATTGTTCTGTGATAGTAGTACCTAGTATGACAAATTGCGTCAATAGAGAAAAACATCACACTTTTCTCTCTATTCTATCAATAATATAACACAAACCAAAATTAGAAGAAGGCATTCTGGGTATACCATTTTCTGTTTTTCTATTTTTTTTTTTTTACTATTATTACAATGTTATTTGATCAAAAAAGTCAAACATTTGATGAGGGTTCTGTTTCATTTCATTTGAGGAGGGTTCTGGGTTCTGTTTCATTTAAAATGGTGAATTTAATCATTTTGCCGGTTGTTATTGAGAAAGTTGTTGTTACTCCAAAAATCAGACTTCCAATTATAATTATTTTATATAATGAGTATAAAAAATTTTCCAGAATATTTAATTCTTTTATTCTTCAAAAAATAGAAAAATATTACCAGTAAAAATCATAAAAAAATACACGTTTATACGTTAGTTTGGGAAAGGACGATCAGATCTTTCGACAAAACGAAAAATTAATACCGGATATTGTCAATAAATTTTAATACAAATCGAAGAGGAAAAATATGGAAACTAGCTACAGTAAGTCGCAAAGTTATTTGAAATTATTCTTTTTTGTCAAAAAATAGAAAAATATTACCAGTAAAAATCATAAAAAAAAAATGCAAAGTATTTTTTTTTTTTTTTGCTTATACGTTTATACGTTAGTTTGGGAGAAGGACGATCAGATCTTTCGACAATCGAAAATTAATACTTTCAGACAGATATTATTTTTTTTTTTTATTAATACTTATAGATTTATTGTTTATTATTTTTTTTTTTTTAATTTTATGAAAAATTAAAAAATTGTAAATTATGAAAGTAATGATGAGAAGCAAATAAATAGTAATGAACGAAAAGTCATCCGAATTAGAAAAAAAATAATCTTTCAATAGTTATATTTATATTGATTATCTTGTCTTTTGAATATATATATTTATTTATAAAAAAGCACAATGTTAATATTTATAAATTTATATTAGAATTTTTGTATCAATATCAGAGCGATCAAAGAATTCATTCGTTTAATAATAAGGCTACGCCACACTTAGCAACAAATTAAATATCAGTTTTCCATTATGAAATAAATATTTAATTTAATATTTTTTCAAAGTTTTATTTAATTATTTATATTTATTTTATACCGAATATTAAAAAATTTAATATAAATCGATCAGCAATAAGTTCTTTATTATTAAAGAGGAATAATATGGAAGTTAGTCGTGAAGTTATTTGAAATTATTATTATTAAAGAGTCTTTAAAAAAAATAAATTTTTTAAAAGAATATTAAAATATATGTACAGTATATATAATAAATAATTCTACCATAAATTGTCTTATTCATCACATCATTGTGAATAATCCAATTTTAATTCAAGAATAAAGATCTTTTGAAAATCGGGACCAATTATACCTTTAATAAAGTAAAAAAAAAAAAAAATTATTCTTGAAGTTTAATGATGAGTAATATCCATAGTTATTATAAGATTTTAATATATATTTCACTTTTTTTCCTCAAACATCGCATCGTAACGATATCATAAGCCCGAATGATTAATAATACAATATATTTATATTTATTTAGTTTCATAAAAATACCGTTATATGTATAATTCAAAAATAATATAAACTATGTAATTTATAATCTGAAAAATGAAGTAAAATTTAAATTGCATATAGAATTGATTAAAACTGATTAATTAATAAAAATGGGAATAAATTTAATTTAACGACTATCAAAATTGATATTATCTATATGAAATTATCAAAAAGAAGGTAAAGGTTTGCTAATAAGATCCGAAACTTCATTTTGCATTTTT